GTAACTGTATTACTGTAGATAACGTATGATGTGTTATATAACTGTATAACTGTATAACGTATGTTGTATTATATAACTATACAACTGTGTATAACGTATGATGTGTTATATACCTGTGTATAACTGTATATAAAATATGATGTGTTATATATCTGTATTACTGTATATAAAGTATGATGTGTTATGTAACTGTATTACTGTATATAACGTATGATGTGTTATATAACTGTATAACTGTATATAACGTACGATGTGTTATATATTTGTATAACTCTATATATCGTATGATGTGTTATATACCTGCATAAATGTATAGCTGTTATAATCACAGTTGGGTAGTCCTGTATCTATTATTTGGGTTTGTGAAGCCAATACATTATATGTGTCAAGTACTGTTTGGTCACTAGGCAAGTCTTATGACCACAGAATCAGTGGCGGAAGTAGTAGTCACTCCATCGAGCTACATGTCCGTACACGCTATCGCAGGTAGACTATGCTTGCTTGCTTACTATGCATTTAAGCATACACGCCAATAGCCACGCTGCAGGTTGTATTTGAGTAGTTATGTGTGCAGTTATAGGTTGTATTTGAGTGGGTGTGTGTGCAGTTATAGGTTGTAATTGAGTGGGTATGTGTGTAGATTGACACTGTGGCAGTTCCATGGCAGATTAGATTGTACACAGACATAACAACAACCGCTTGTCAGGCTGACATTCCCATAATCGAACCAAACCGTACAAACTCAAACCATTTGTGCGTTCAATTCGTCTTAACCAGACAAAACGACCCGACGCCCAAATAACAACGCCAATACCGGTACGTCCGATGCGAATACCGGTACAGCCCACCCCCCAGGCCGAACTTCGGGGTCGCCCGTTCCCCCGCCAAAAAGCAATGCACACGTGCGTCTAGGATGGTCGCAGTCTTATGCGCTGCACCAAGGGCCGGTGGGGTATGACCACTTCAGCTACTCATACCGGGACAAAAGCGGGTCCAAGTTCCACCGGAGTCTGGGGCAGCCCTATGGCGAGGCGTATGAGACAGGCGATGTCATTGGGTGCCTGATACATATGCCGGACTACACACTGAGCGAAGATGTGAGTGATGCGCGTTTTCGATATCGGTTGTGGCTGGTGTATGTGTATGTATGGCTGTATTGTATGGTTGATGTGTGTGTATGATTGTGTTGTATGGTTAATGTGTGTGTATGATATTTTTGCATGGTTAATGTGTGTGTATGATTGTATAGTATGGTTGATTTGTGTGTATGATTGTATTGTATGGTTGATGTGTGTGTATGATTGTATTGTAAGGTTGATATGTGTGTATGATATTTTGCATGGTTAATGTGTGTGTATGATTATATAGTATGGTTGATTTGTGTGTATGATTGTATTGTATGGTTGATGTATGTGTATGATTGTATTGTACGGTTGATGTGTGTGTATGATTGTGTTGTATGGTTAATGTGTGTGTATGATACTATTGTATGGTTAATGTGTGTGTATGATTGTATTGTATGGTTGATGTGTGTGTATGGTTGTATTGGTTGTATTGTATGGTTGATGTATGTGTATGATTGTATTGTATGGTTGATGTGTGAGCGAAGATGTGAGTGATGGGCGTTTTCGATACTGGTTGTGGCTGGTGTATGTGTATGTATGGCTGTATTGTATGGTTGATGTGTGTGTATAATTGTATTGTATGGTTGATGTATGTGTATGATTGAATTGTATGGTTGATGTATGTGTATGATTGCATTGTATAGTTGATGTGTGTGTATGATTCTGTTGTATGGTTGATGCGTGTGTGTAATTGTATTGTATGGTTGATGTATGTGTATGATTGAGTTGTATGGTTGATGTATGCGTATGATTGTATTGTATGGTTGATGTGTGTGTATGATTGTGTTGTATGGTTGATGTGTGTGTATGATTATATTGTATGGTTGATGTGTGTGTATGATTGTATTGTATAGTTGATGTGTATGTGTATGATTGTGTTGTATGGTTGATGTGTGTTTATGATTGTATTGTATGGTTAATGTGTGTGTATGTTTGTTTTGTATGGTTGATGTGTGTGTATGATTGTGTTGTATGGTTGTATTGTATGGTTGTTGTGTGTGTATGATTGTGTTGTATGGTTGAAGTGTATGTATGATTGTATTGTATGGTTGAAGTATTTGTATGATTATATTGTATGGTTGATGTGTGTGTATGATTGTATTGTATGATTGATGTGTGTGTATGATTATATTGTATGGTTGATGTGTGTGTACGATTGTGTTGTATGGTTGATGTGTGTGTATGATTATATTGTAAGGTTGATGTGTGTGTATGATTTTATTGTAAGGTTAATGTGTGTGTAGATTGTGTTGTATGGTTGATGTGTGTGTATGATTGTATTGTATGGTTGATGTGTGTGTATGATTGTATTGTATGGTTGATGTGTGTTTATTATTTGTATTGTCTGGTCTATTTGACGTGGTGGCTTGGGTTGTGCTACACCTGGTGTGATATGCTCGTCTACCATGTGCTATATATTTGGTCATCTATCTCCAAAAAAAAAGTCGATATTTGCAAAATCAATTTCCCAATTTTTAGATTTTCTACTTTCTCGATTTCCTTATGTACCAATGTCCTAGTTCGTGTCCAAGCTTTCCTTCATCCCCGATCTCTATTGCAATCGCGGAGTCCTTGCTATCTACCCAGATTTCATCATCCTTTGATAGTATCTACAGAGAGTGCAAATTGATTTGCCTGTGTCTGTGTCTACAGATAGTGCCTATTGATTTGCCTGTGTCTGTATATACATATCAGACGATACTCGCCCTCGACATCAACACTGATCCTCCTCCTCCTTCTCCATAAACGTTTACAAACAGCTTTTCAACTCTGCGCTGACCATCGTAAATCCAGGGAAACAGCATGACATCGACCCACTGGTATGTCGCACAAATATGATACTACTGACAAATCAGTAATAGGATATTTAAGAAAACTCTTCGTGTTTCAATTCCGATTTAGGGTTTTAGGGCTCAAACTTTAGCTTCAGTTTTTAGGGTTTTTTTATTTTGGAGCATATTTTAAGTTATGATATTTTTCTTTTCTACATCGCATTCATGTTTCATCAGAATACTGAAATGCTTATAGTGGACTTCAAAGGCATACCATACTATCAAATCACAGACGAGCTGGATAGAAGTCTCAAAGCCTTAGAGCCTGTTGAGGGGAGGTGAGTGGATGTCCATCGACCGTAGTTGTGTTTGTTTTATGTTCCAGGTATATATAAGTA